AGAGAATCAAGAGATATAATAGTGCTGGGGGCTGAGTTATTACCTAAAGCCAAGTGAGGAATTAGAAGTATAGAAATGCCCCCTGGATTTGACTCCTGTGGTGCCCATCAGAATCATCAGGAAAGTGGGATGAGGGCAGCACCACCCCCACTCAGAGAACATAGGCCACAGGGGTTGGCACCAGCCTCGTCCATCCGTCCACGAGGGGAGTCTGGGCTTCCTCCCATTGGCTCTCAGGGATGCCCTTGCCTTGGGGCCTGGGGTTCTCTCCTCTGAGCTGAACACCTCGGAGCCACATCCAGCTGATCCCATAAAGAAGGGCAGAGTGGGCCATGTGCGCTGACTCACATCTGTCTTCCCTATTTCTCTTACGGTACCTACCAACCCAACAACCACCTGGTACCCTCATCCCCCATACCTCTCCCAAGCCAAATCCACTTTCTAGAAAGGATCCGAAGCACTAATTTATCCTGAGGTATGAGTAACACTCTCTGTGCTTCCTTCTTATCCTCTCTGCCACAGATGCTTAGGGCAAAGGGACAGAGTATGAAGTGGTAGGATTTAAAGCAAATGGCTAGTACTCACAATCTTTGCTGAACATTTGACTCAGCCAAGAAGGGGGAAGAGTTTCGATCTTTTCAGGGAGGCAGGTGTGGAGAGAAAAGAGAGAATGTCCACTGGCCCCAAGATGGCACTACGATGGTTAGCTTCAAAACCAGCTCCACCACCCACATCTCAGTAACTTTCTATTGAAAGGCCCAAATCCTTACACTGAGTGAGCTTCTCCTTTATCCATCCTGTTTCTTGACCTGGTTCCACCCAGACTTCAACTTGACTTCCCTCGCTGCCCCTCATGCACCTTGTGGTCCAGCCAGACGAATTCATCCCTCCCCTCCTTAACCCTCTGTTAGAATTTTGTGCTTTCTTTTACCTCAGTCCCTCTTCCAAGAAGGCCTTTCCTTCCAGTCCTGCAAGTCCAGCTCCAACCCACCCTTCCAGACTCAACTCAAACACCTCTTCATGTCTCCCTCCTTTGACCTCTGGGAGAATTTTTTCAGTTCCTTGCTGCTGACTTTCCTTCTTCTTCTAAGTCATTAGTGTATCTGGCCCAATCCCCTAGAGATGTTAAACCCTCAGATCTGTGTCATATTAATCCTTCAGGTTCCTCCACCCTCTCAGACCCTCACCAATGCCTGGGACATGGGAGGTGTGTTGAATCCATAAAGGAAGGTGGGGATGGCGTCTGGATTCGTGGTCGTGATGGTGGTGGGGATAATGTGAGCAGGGAGAGGAGAGGGTGGTAGTGATGGAAACTGGCCAACAAATCTGCCCCTGGGCAGCCTCCCTTTTGGCTTTCATTCTGCAGCCCAACAACGAGCAGAGCTGTTGTTGCTTTGGAAGAGAAATTAAGATGCCAGGCAGGTACAGCCAGCCAAGCACCATTGCTCTATTGAATCGAGCTCAGCGGTCTAGGCTCTTTCTTCCCATCAACAAATGGAATGCTTTATGAGAAAATACAAAGCACAGCCCTACACAGAAATATCGAAGCCTCCTTGGCCAGGACATCCCTCAGAAGGGAACGCAATGTAGCCATAATTTATTGCGTTCAATATTTTTGCTTCCAATCTTATTTTTATAGACATTATTTCATAGACTGCAAGTCAAACACAGATGGAAAAGATTCTGGCTTTGTAATAAGAGAAGGTTTATGGTGGGCCAGCCCGCTGCTCTGTGTTTGTGTGTGAGTAAACGCGCATTATCATGTCCTTAGGTGGGGCAGGGAGATGCTTTTATTATGTGTTTGGACTTTGATCCAACAATTCTGCCTTCATCTCTCCACTAGGCCAGGGCCTCCGGATACTCCCAAGGGGAGGAAGTAACAAACACCGTAGCGGGGCAAGGGGGAGGAGAAGTGGGCCAGCCTTTGAAACGCATTCTTGGCTCTGGCCGGACCTGCCTTTCCATGGGTCTTCAAAGGGCCTTGACCCAGGGACCGGGCCTCCTCCCCAAAGGACAGAGGTGAAAGGAAGTGGACACTATGGTGTTATATGTATGACTCTGTGTTGTGTGATTTGCACCGTCTCTTGGGGTGGGGGAGATCAGAACACTGAGCTCATACTGCCTATAAAATGCCCTTGAGATTCTCTGTAGATAGTCTCATCCAAAGAACATTTTTTTAAAGATTTATTTATTTACTTGACTGAGAGAGAGGAAGTGTGTGTGCCTGCGCGAAGAGGGGAGGACGGAGAGAGGCAGACTTCACGCCCCGTGTGCAGCCCAACGCAGGGCTCGATCTCAAGACCCCAAGATCACGACCTGAGCCGAAAAACCAAGAGTCAGACGCTTAACCAACTCAGCCACCCAGGCGCCGCCCGCAACTAACATTCTTAAAAACATCATCTGGCTTACGATGTTCATAGTCCGGAGGTACTAAGGTTTGTTCGATCAACCTCGTTTCGGTTGGGGAGAGAAAGAGCATGAGCAGGAAGAGAGAAGGGCTGGAGGGAGATCTAAGGAGGAGGAAGGAGAGAAGGAGATGGAGACAGAGAAGTTGGGACAGGACCAGACCAGAGCAGGGGTCAGGAGGTCTTGGCCCCAGGCATGGCCCCACACACCCACAAATGCACCGCTAGCAGGCAGCGCACCTTCTGGAGCAGAGGGAGCGGCCTCGAGCTTGGGCCACCCAGCCCCTCTTTTCTTTGCTCTCGGGGGGCCGTCGGCTTCCAGCCGCCTCCAAGAAGCAACGAGAGCATGTGTCAGAAAACACTGGGAGTGGGGAGGAGGGGGCTGCAGCCACATTCAGCTGGGAGGCTGAGTGGAAAGCAAATCAAGGGGGAGGGCCCCTTTGGGGCCTCGGGAAGAGTGATCTGTCCTACTCGCCAGGCTTCTGGAGGATTCCACTGGAGGAACGGCTGTGTGAGGTGAAATGTTAATGAGAGCCCGTCCATCGGGTCTCCAGCCATGGAGAGCCTGTCAGTAGAGCTCTGGGGGAGAGGAACAGCCCCCCCAGTTGCCTGGTAGCAACAGTGTCTTTGATGTTTATTGTGCAGACATTTCTTCCGTGCACACCTGCAGGGGTACGATTCTGGGGGAGCCGTCCCTGGGGGGGGCTCTGAGTGTTCAAGCAGACCTGAGGAAAAGGCGAAGCGCACCCAGAAAGCCTCTGCCCTCCTTGGGCCCAGTCCCTTCTGCTCTGCGGCTGATTGTCACACCTCCCCCAGGGGCCTGGCGAGGGACGGAAAGCTTTGAAACACGGGAGTGGGTGAAGAATCTGCCACAGCCAGTGTCAGGAAAACAGTCCCTCCCACCTGCGCTGCTTGAGAAATCAGGCCCAGGTGCCCAGCCCAAGAGACGGAGAGCTGAATTTCGCAAACGGTTATAACCAGGTGTGGAGGGCATGGTGCCTTCTGGCGACCTCCCGTCCTTGGGGGGACCGTGCACGCTTCCCCCACCCTCCCAACGCTAGACGTCCTAGTGGGCTGTCTGTCGGTCACAGGGCTCTCCCCAGCCCCCAGCCCTGACAACGAAGTTTGAGCCCTCTCTCTGTGCCCTTATGGGAGCCACCATATTCCCTTTCTATTTAAGCCTCTTTGGATTGGTCTTCTGCCACTTGCAGCTGATAACGTCTCAACTGATACACCAGGCCGATAACGGCCTAGGGAATGTTTCAAACCAAAGAACTAAATCAGAATAAGAACGAGGCCCCCAAGGGTCAGAGTTCCATAGGACTTCGGGAGAGAGGCACAAGAGGGGTCTGCCGGACCCGCACAGGATGGCCGGAAACAGTAGCCGCCTTTTGGGTGGACGCGACCCGCGTCCGTTCAGAGCCCCACTCTTCAGAGGACCCACATTTCACACACACACACACACACACACACACACACGTATGCACACATGAATGCACACACTCGTGTACATGCACACGCGCACATACACGCCCTCTGTTCAGAGTCCCACTCTTCAGAGGACCCACATTTCACACACACACACACACGCGCACACACATGCACATACTCAAAGAACAGGACAGCTCCGTCCCTGCGGAGAGGGCACTCAGCGCGAACACAGCATGATCTCTCACCCTAAACATCCACGCTCACGGCTAACGCCATCCAGGCCCCAGGGAAATGCTTCTCCCCGACATTCGCGTCGTGTCCTTCAATCAAGAGGAGACCGTGTTCAAATGCTATAAAAACGTGTGGGTCGTGGGGCTGCTGACACAGACCCGGCCCTGCTGCTCTGGAGGATCGAATGGTGGAAGCTCTTAGAGGGAAGACAGATGAATTTCTCAAATCCTTCCTCTTACATAGAGCAAGAAGACAATAGAAGTAGCGTGTCTCAGTGGTGGCAAACATACATTTTCCTGCTTCTCTTTGTGGTTCCAAAGGTACTCACAGATTAGCAACGTTACAATTGTACATGGCAGCCGCAGAACACTTTCCAGTATAAAAAATTCATAATTCTCCCACATTTGCACATATAGAGGTCAAGATAGAACATGCATAAAGCATGAGACTGATTCTTTACATTGGCAATGAGACAGACATGGAACAACTATAGGATTTTATTTTCTTTTTTTAAGATTTTATTTATTTATTTGACACAGAGAGAGAGAGAGAGACAGCGAGAGAGGGAACACAAGCAGGGGGAGTGGGAGAGGGAGAAGCAGGCTTCCCGCGGAGCAGGGAGCCCGATGTGGGGCTCGATCCCAGGACCCCGGGATCATGACCTGAACTGAGGGCAGTCACTTAACGACTGAGCCACCCAGGCGCCGCCCCTAGGATTTTATTTTTATAAAAATTTTTACTAAGATGTAATAAATTTGCAAGACTTAAATTTAAAAAATTCAGCTTTATTTAAATATTTGAAATTTTTGTATTAGACAAAATGCGTTAAGTTATAGTATTGGTTACATTTGCCTTTTAATTTTAGTAGATAATTTTGAATATTTTAAAGAAAGATAACTTGGTAAAAACTTATGTGAAAATGTTTTGATCTTTTACAATTTAATTTGCATTTTTTAAATTAAAACGCACATAATTTTTTTTACTGTTTCAGTTATCTGTTGCCATATAACAAAGCCCAAAGTTTAGTTGCTGAGAAGAAATTCTTTTTAGCTCTTGCAGTTCTGTGGATTGACTGGCTCGGGCGTCGCTTGGTGGCTGGGGCGAGGGGTCTCACATGGTTGCGGTCAAACCGTGGCAAGGTTGAGAGCCAAACGCAGGTTCAGCTGGGCTGTACGGCCAAGATGGCAGCACCCTGACTCTCCTAGCTGGTCTCAGCTGGAACGGCTGGACCAAGCAGAGTCTGGTGGACCGAACTGCTTTCTCCTGTGACTTTTCCACATGGCTAGCTTGGCCCCTCCACACCATCTCAGTCTCAGAAGAAACCAGCTTCTTACACGATGCCTGGCTTGTTCCAGAGCAAGCATTGTAAGAGACCCAGGTGGAAGCCAAAAGGCTCCCTATGCGCTGTCCTCAGAAATCATGTGGCATCACGGGCACTGCTTTCTCTTGGCCAAAGTGAGTCACAGGGACGACGCAGATTCCAGAGAGCGGCCTGCACGAGGTCATGAATACCAGGAGAGGTGGTTTCCACTGGGGGCTAGCTTTGAAGACTAGCCCTCTGCACCGCACCCCCCGATGAATCACATCCCTCACACATCCGAATGACTGTACACTCACCCCCGAGGCCGCCCGAAGTCTCATCCAGGACTTCAACATCTACGTCAGGTCCGGAGGAGAGGAGGCCCCTCAGGTGTGGGTGCTTGGAGATGGCTCTTCTTGACTTAAAGTTCTGTGAAAAAAAGAAACAAGTTGTCTCCCTCCGCCAAACCCCACAAACAGTAAGGAGGTAGGCACGGGATAACTGCATTAGACGCTGTCATTCAAAAAGGGGAAGAAACTTGTGCAGAGAGCAGTTCTGAAATTAAGCCGATTCCTTGATCAGGGCCCAGTCCTGTTCTCTGTGGCTCTTGGCCATACTCTTGAGTTATCCTTCGTTTTCTAGAAGAAATAAATGGTCAGTGTTTATAGCCACATTGACTTCTCAACCTGTTTCTTGCCCATTAGAAAGGACTCTTCAGGGGCGCCTGGGTGCCTCAGTCAATAAAGCGTCTGCCTTCAGCTCAGGTCATGACCCCAGGGTCCTGGATCGTGAGATCAAGCCCCGTGGTGGGCCCCCTGCTCAGCGGGGAGCCTGCTTCTCCCTCTCCCTCTGCAGCTCCCCCTGCTTGTGCTCTCTCTCCCTCTCTCTCTCTCTGTCAAATAAATAAATAAAATCTTAAAAAAAAAAAAAAAGGACTCTTCGTTTTGAACAGTCTCTGTCCCTTTCAATCCAAGCTGAAAAAATATTTTTAAAATATGTGGGTTTCTTATATACTAAATTAAATCCTATTCCATTAAAGAAAAGGTCCCTCTCACTTTAAGCCACTTGTGAGGTTGTGGTGAGATTCTCAGTTCAGTCCTATTGTTCAGCAGAGAGGACCTAGGAGGTACCCCTTTACATTCTTATAAGTCCTGGTGTGTATCCAAAGGGTCTAAAGACATGCCCTTAAATATTTCTAAGGTCTTGACAGAGGGTCTTACAGGCACACCTTTGACTCTACCTGAGAACACATTTTACTGGCAACACCCAGGATTTTCTTTGCCCTGAGGCCAGGCCTTGCTTTTTGAGCCTTTTGCTGGCTGGAATATAGACCTGGCCTCCTCAGTTACTAATCCTGCTCCCAGACTTCTTTAGCTCATCTTGACCTTTTCCTATTTTATCAGCGTCATCTGGAAGCAGCTAATTAGCACTTTCAACTTTCTGCTTGGAACTGGCCTTAGACGTGTCACAAGTTCATAGGCACCCCTTCTATTTTCCCCATTACTATAGGGGATGGTCTCACATAATTCTGCCAGTGCATGGCTTATGTCCCCTTTTCTCCAGTCTCCAATACCCTTTCCTTACCGTGTTTCAAGACTTCCATAATATTCTCCCCAAGGTTCTTCAGCTTCTGCCCCCCATTTGCTTTCTGTCCCAAAGCAAATGCCACAGGTTTTAAGTTTTTGTTACAAAACTCCCTTCCAACACTGTGGTAGCTGGTCTCCAAAGAAGGCCCCAGTGAACAAACCTCCTGGTATTTACGTGGTCTGGGGACCCTGTGTGGTCCTCCCACACTGAAGCTGGGCCGTGACTCATGCTAACACATAGGACACAGTGAATATATGTTGCATAAGTTTTGGACGTAGACTTTAGCTTCTTCCTCTTCCTTTTTGGAATACTCGCCTCTGGGAATCCTGCTACCATCTGGGAAGTCTAGCTATCCTACTAGAGGGATCATGTGGACAGAGAAGGACCCAAGGATTATATGAAAAGAAGGAAAGGACCAGCCGTCCCGGCACCCAAATTGAGCCTCTTGATGATTCCTGCCCCACCCACTAGCTAGCCACAACCACATGAGAATTTCAAAGCAAGCAGCAGAGGAGATGCTCAGCTGTGCCTGGTCAACCCACAGACCATGAGAGATAATAAAATCATCTTTAATATTGCTTTAAACCACCAAGCTCTGGAGTGTTTTGTTACATGGCAATAGCTGGGTAAAACAACTCTGAATACAATCACACTTGGTTTTTAATCCTCTAGGTCATTACTGTTCACTAGAACACAAACTATGAGTTCTCTATTATAAAAGCATGATGACTGGTTTTGCTGAAATTAAGACAAGAAAATAAATTTCAAAGAACAAATACATGCTAATATATGAATTATTAATGTCTTTATTGTATTATTCATCCAAACATCACTGGCCCTTCCACAGAACCCCTGGTGTACTTAATAATCATTTAATTCAGTTGTCTTCAGTATTTTGTAAACTCTCAGTCATGTAAAAGTCGTAACTATATATGTAGTTTCAATTTTATCATCTTGAAGGTAAACTCGTAACGGTTGAATTGTAGAACATATTTCAATGAAGAGTTTGTTAGCTTGACTTATAACTTTTACATATTTAGACATATGGTCTGTGGGCCTCCACTTATACCCTTCTCCCAGGAGTGGATAGCACCAGAACCAACATGACAGGTGCCTGACCAAGGGGGAGCAGCAGAGGTACCACAAGAGCCAAAAGGGAACTTGGATACGTAACTAGGCCGGAAGGAACACCCGAGCAACCACCAGAAAAGACCAGAGAGGAGCATGGGGTCGGGGGCGGGCGGGAATGAGGTGGGGTGGAGTGGGGTGCTGAGAAGCCCACCTGCCCCATCTGCAGAGCCAATCACTGCTCCACTGGCCGAACTTAAATGGCCTGGCCTGGCCTGGGACCAGGTGCAGGAACACCACAGAGCTAAACCCATCCCCAGAGTCGTCCTGAAACCTGACTTATTCTGGGGAGCATACCATCCTTCCGAGGCCCCCAGGCTCAGGCCCAGGCCCAGTGCTAGGTCAGGAGGGATCTATAGTCAAACTGAGTCAGAATTTGCTACTAATGAGTATCTGAGATTCATGCTTTCTACATCCAATCATTTTTACAATTGCGAATGTGCTTCCTTTCCCCCATAGTTTCCTTCCAAGAATTATATCTGAAAAACCCTCATCTTTTCTTTGCAAAATTAAGGTGAAAAAGATCTGTCCACATTTTCGTTAAAAGTGTCGAGTGGGGAGAAGAGAATAGGGGACAAGCAGGTTGAGTCGAGGAGGTGACAGGAGCTGCGGATCTTCTTGAAGACCTGGAGAGCCGGACGTGTGTGTGACCAGGATCACACACCTATGCCTCAATTCTGCAGGGCTGGTGCAGTAGATGATCTGGTCCCGAGACTACACATGTCTGGGGCCTGGGTACAGCTACCTGCCTGGGCTCTCCTTGCTGGTATAGGGGGTCTCTGGGCATGAGACTCTCAGATCTTTCCAAGGGGAGCAGTTGAGGAGCATGGCCACCCTTATGCTGGAGGACAAGCTCACAGCTCCAGTGTGGAGGGAGCATTGCCTGATTTTGAGTCCTCGTTCTACCTCCTTCTAACCTGGAGGCCTCAGGCAAATTACCTAATCCCTTTGTACCTCTGTCTCCCAATCAGTAAAACTGGGATGATGATGATGATGATGGATGATGGTGATATACCTGCCCCACTGGGCTGTTGAGAGGCTTAAATGAGTAACACAGGTAAAGTGCTAAGAACAGAACTTGGGACAGGGAAGTGCTAAGGTTAATGGCTGCCAACAGAGAAAACAGTCCAGGAGAAAGATGGGGCAAATGCAAACTTCCGTGAGGGTTGTTTCTCGGTTAAATGCAGATGCATTAAGGAGTACTCCGATCTATTCAGGCCGGAAATCGTCATGTGGCTCAGAGCTAGTGCCCTGGCCAGGAACAGAGGTGTCTCTCATGCAACAGCCAAAATATATTTTATTTTATTTTTTAAAGATTTTATTTGTTTATTTGACAGAGAGAGACACAGCCAGAGAGGGAACACAAGCAGGGGGAGTGGGAGAGGGAGAAGTTGGCTTCCAGCCCAGCAGGGAACCCGATGTGGGGCTTGATCCCAGGGCCCTGTGATCATGACCTGAGCTGAAGGCAGACGCTTAATGACTGAGCCACCCAGGCGCCCCCAAAGTATTTTTTTTAAAAGGTCTCCTTGGGTCCCGATTAAAATTGCCACCCAAGGCAAGGAAATATGACTTTGGATGCCAGTGACTCTGGTTTGTCCTGGATTTCTTGTACACTTAGGAAGCCTTATCTTCCCCCCTACGGAGCCTCATCCTATGACACACTGAACATTGGACTTGAAGTTAAGACTTGAGGTTGAAGATTTGCAGGGCTACCTCAGGCACATCCCTTCCAATCTCAGAGACTGTTTCTGGTCTATAAAACGAGGGGGCTGGACTAGATACTCAAAGTCCCCAGTTACTCTAACATTCTGGGACAATGATTGCTCACCCCCTGCCCAAGCCTGGTCCTGGACAAAAGCCCACATCCGGTACAGTGTCCACATCAACAAGGGGCCAAGGAAAGCCATCAAGGCAGCCCCTGGGGCTTGGTTGAGCCTCCTTGCCCTCCCCATTTGCAGAGAGCTCTACCCCAGGCCCAAGAAGCCCAGGGGACTTCCCAGTTGGGCCCACCTCAAAACTTCTAGTAGGGCTGTCTCTGGGATGGAGGTGAAGAACAAGAGCCAGGCTTGGGCAAGCACAGAGGAGTTAAGACCATGGCCCAGGGCCGTATCCCATATGCACAAAGAACAAGGGGGTGGAAGGAGGCCAAAGGGTCCTGAGGTCCCAGGGAAGGCCAAAATGTGATTTAGCCCTTGGAGGTGAAGGCAAGTCTGGCCTCCTCTCCCAAACCATGCTGAGACCCCCAAATGGGTGGGGGCTGTGAATCCAATGTCCACTACAGCAGGTGCTGTATTGGAGCCATTTGGAAGCTCACTCCCTGAGAACTATCATATTAGGTCACTGACTCAGAAGGCTAGAAGGTTCGGCAAGGTTCAGAGCCATGGTTCAGCATGCATGTTGCAGGGATCCCATGCCTTGCAAAGTGTCTTATGACTATAGAAGTGCATCTACCTATATGTAGAGGTTTCTTCACATCTGTGGGAGAATCTGTGATTGAGCCTGGGGCATCCGTGTGAAAGACAGCAGAATAGCAGGCAGCTATGTGTGCAGGCTCTGAGGCCAGATTGCCTAGGCTTGAATCCCAACGTTGCCAATTACTAGCCATATGATCTTGAGCTGTCACCTCTATGTGACCCAGTTCACCCATCTGTTAATTGGGATAAATAACAATACTAATTCACAGAGTTGTTGTAAGGATTCCATTGCCCTGAACCCTCATGTATGCTAGAACAACACCTACTAAATTTCCAATAGATAGTAAATTTCCAATAGGTGTTTGTCAGCATTACCATGTATGACCATATCCACGTGTGCAAACGTAGATTCAGATGCTCCCATGTAAAGATTTATGGGCGTCCATAGGTCTTTGAGTATGAGAAGGTACACATCTGGGTGTCTGTGTCTCTGTGTGTTTGAGAACTTCTGGTGCACCCAGTGATAATGACAACTGGCATTTATTGTGTGCTTACTGTGTCAGGCACTGCTCTAAGAGTTCTACAGGTATGCACGTGCAAACACACGCAAATGTGAGCAGCTGAGCACGTGTCCAGTCATAGGCACCAGTGAGGACCTGTGGGCGTGGCCTCTCAGCCCCGCCCAGTGAGCCCCCCTTCCTGAGTTAGCTGTGTGAGAGATGAAGGCAAGACAGCGGATTCTGCCTGTGGAGAAAGCCTTCACATTTTACCTGTCATGGTTCCTTTGCTTCCATTGTCCAGGGTAACGTTGTAAGCATAAAAGTATATTTGCAAATGGATGAATGTGCTTTTCTTTCTTGCCCTCATGAGTTCGTGACCTTCATCTTCCTTGGCCTGAGGCATCCATCTCTGCCTGAAAAGAGACAAGGCTGAAGGTTTGATTGTAGGCAGAATGAACAGGAAAAAAAAAAAAATGCTGTAATGTTTGGCATCTGACATGCAAAATAAGATTCTTTTAGGTCAAAAGTCTTCTGAACCAGGCTATTCTTTTAAGAGCTCAATTTCTGGATCCCTTCCTTCATCTCTCTTCTTGGGTGTGACCATGGTGTTTTATGTAACAGCTGCCCAGGCCAGAGGAGAAAGGGCTTTGGTCCTCTCCTTCGTGCCCAGGGGATAGCAGGGAAGGGCTGGGAGGAAACCCAAGCAGTCCCATCTGGCTTTGCTCCAGAGAAGGAACCCCAGGGAGGGGCCCCCGTCCCCATCTCCCTTTGGAACTCTGGGAGGAACAGCATCCCAGGCTGCTCTGAACCGGCCCGGCCTCTGCCTCTGACACCAGGGCCCCCTGGGCAAAAGCAGAGGAAACAGCCTCAGTGGTTGGACTTCACAAGCCAACTTCAGTTGCCACCGGGCTGGCTGCCACGTTGTGAGCCAGCAGGCCAGCCAGGACCCTGGTGGCACAATGAGGAGATGCCACAGGAGGAGAGGTGACACTCCTGGACCGTTGGGAAGCCCTGCAGGAGGCAGCGGGGATGAACCAGGTGCAGCAGGCTGGTCAGCCGGGGACATGTCGAGGCCCTGGGCAGACAAAGAGGGACCAGACCAAGAGTGACATAAACTCAGCTTCAAGTGCAATCCATGGCTGGCCAGGGACAAGAGATCTTGCTGGGAACCCAGAGGAAGCCACCCCCTAGACAACTCCTCACTGCCACCCAGTGTCCCATAAGTTGCTCTTGAGTGTCCACACGCCTTGACACCATCTTAGTGGGAGAAGCTAGGGAAGATGGTCTGAGAACTGGGCACTCGCTCCAAGAGAAACAAACCATCACCGAACAGGACAAGCTGAACCATCAGGTCCTGGTTAAAATCAAGTTGACTATTTCATTGGTTTTCTCCCTAATCATCAGGTAGGGGTTGGGAGAAAGGCCAGATTCGTTAGAGATGAATAAATAAATTGCTTCTTTTCTGCACAGATGAACTGAAGTGTGAGTTAAATTTTCAACCCTGTTGCACACACAAAAAGAGAGGACCCGCCCACCTCTGCCCTGCCCCAGCCCCCATATGCCAGCTGGCCTTTCCAACTAAAGACAATGACCCCGGCCGAGGACAAGTCCTGGCCTCCGGATCCTAAGTTGCCTCGTGTGGGACGGAGTCATGGCAGAGCAGGACAAGGTCGCCCTTCCACCCAAGTGCACGCATCAGCCTTCTTGGGCTCATGCACCCCAGCTCCCCTCCTCCTGGCTTGTCTGTGTTTTTCTGAGGGAAAGAACAAGGTTCTAATTCTCTTTCCAGGCCCTTCCTGTCCAGGGCATTTGGGCTCCCAGCCCTGGCCGCTTTCTCAGAGGCCGCTCAGATCCCTCCTTCCCCCGGGGGAAGGTGGGACTATGGGGTGTGAATTGAGTGAGGTCCAGGGTCCTACACATGGTGCCTGGTAGGAGGGGGTGTAGACGGGGATGGGGGGGGTGGGGAGGAGGGATCCGCACACGGGGAGGGCGATGCTGCCACCTGCTGGAGCCCGGGAGAGAGACAGCCCAGCTGTGGAGCCACGGATCGCTTGCCTTGGGTAAAACCACTTCTGAGTCTTGCACTCAAATGATTCGCTTTCTTTTTTCCAGAACGGCGTCCCCACTATTCCTTCATTCGGCCATTTGGTTTGCAGGTTGGAGCAAGATCACCATCCCGTTTTACAGATGAGGAAACATGCCCAAGAGACAAATGCCATCTAAAGTCACATTACTGGGGATGGCTTGAAGGCAACATTTGGTCTCCGGCCTCCCAACCAAGAGCTGTGTCCCCTCCTCAGTGCTCAGACGAGGGTGCCGCAGGGAATGAGAGGGGCCCCCATATGCACGCAGTTGAGAAGGCCATCTCCAGCATCCAGGGAGACGGTATGAGGGAGGGAGGGGGCATGTACATCTTCCTGCTGGGACCCATGCGCCAGGCAGTAATGGCCCCCCTGCCTTTGGCTCAGGGCCTGTATGCCCACAGCGCTTCTGTTTCCTAAGGATTCCACACACACATTACTGCATGGATCATTTCGGCTGCTTCGGCTCCGTTTTCTGGAATGCCGCAAGGGCAGGCAGGCTACCAGGAAAACCCTGACCAATGCCTGTCCTCATTCACTGGGAAGAGTTTGTGCCACAACAAGGTTGACACCTTAACACATTTTTCCCCATAAATTGTCTTTTAATGTCCTTGCTGCTTTTCTGTTGAGAACATCAGGCTGTTTGCTTCTGTATTAAACAGGAAAAGGTTACTTATTTGGAACCCTCTGAATTTTGAACCTGTGAGTATATTACCTACCAAATTAAAAAGGAGGGGGGATGACACTGTAAATACAAATGAAACAAAATATTTTAATTGATTCCATGTGAAGAGTTGAGGAATGAAAATTTAATATTAAAAAAAAAAATTCCTAAGGGGAATTTCTGTCACAGCACTCTGCCCGGACACCAGGGAAAGGCAAAATTGTAAAGCAGCCCCCACCCTTTGCTTCTGTCTCACTGCCACGCACCCCTCTTTCCTGAAGCCCTCCCGATGCTCTCCCACTCGCCACAGCGATGCTCTGCTCTTGCCCTCGGTGAGCTTTGCTCAACTCCCCCATGCAGACACCATGTCACATGCCAACATCAGCACGCAGGCCAAGCCCGCTGTTAGGCAGTTGATACACAGCAAGTCACCACCTGGCGCTGGCGTGGGCTTTGAAAAAGAGTGAAAAGTTTGTTGTGGTAATGTTTCTTGATGAGAATCTAGACGGCCCGAGTCCTTATATACAAAATAGGTGATGAGGGCCCTCGAAGGGCCAGCATCCTCGAAGCCATTTTCCCCAATGGCGAGGGCTCCTGGAGGACAGATGGGGACCGTTTCGATGGCCCCCACTGAGGATGTCCTGTGGTCAGCAGGGGGCAGACTGGCCCAGAAGGCCCCCAGCTTGGGGGCACCCAGGCCATCTCGGCCTCCCAGCCCTTCCAGCCGAGGCGTTCCCTTGGCCAAAACAATCTGTGGGACAGAAAAGGTGCCTCTTCTCAGCCCAAGCCCCACACCCCCCTCCCACCATGGAGCGAGTCCGCTTGTCCTGATGTGTTTTGTGCACACTGGGAGATGATTCGGGCCGGTGTTATAAACCCCTTAGTTCCAGTAACAGCAACATCTACCCTCCTCCTGAAAGCAGTGCTCACCGGTCACCCTCACTGCCAAGACTCTGCATTGGCCCAAGCCTCCTCCTCTCCTGACCGACCTCCTGACCTTCTCTTCCCTCTCTTCTTGGCCTGCCAGAGTCCGGGCAAGACAGAAAGCTACGGACCGGCCCCAGGGTGCCTGTAGGCTGCAGATTAAATAAAGCTCAGTGGCTGGTCCTGTGGTTGGCTCTGCACCAGGGGAGTGCTGGGGGGAGCCTTCTAAGGCAGAGCCACAGCGCCACCTCGTGGTAGACTGTCACATGCGCAGCCAGGCCAGAGCCAGCCGAAAGAACCTTCCTACACAGGGGCCTCTTCCTTAGCTATTCCACTGTCCAGTCCTCAGGGTCTTCCCTTCTCCTGGATCCCAGGAGAGCCCCGTCCCTGAGGATTGAGGGCCAACTGCCAAACTGAAGTCCTAGCCACATCTCTGACACACACACCCCCATACACAAAGCAAAACACCTAGAAAGGGCCTGGGTTTCTGTGTCAGGGAGACCGGGTACTCCCATGTCCTCTGTTCGGCAGATGTCTGAGCTCAGGCAATTACATAACCTCGTGAGCCTCAGTGTCCTGCCTCTAAAATGGGGGCAGTAAAAAGGCTGCCAAGGAATATATTAGGTAACAAAGGCCCTAGAGCAGGGGCTGGCTCTCCGCAGGGGCTCAAGAAACGACGGTTTCCTTTCCTTTCTGCCCGGGCTTGGCGCCTGGAGAACCCGGACTTACTCAAAGGCAGGATTGAGGGGACAATCAAAACCCAGAGTCTAGGATGGGAAACGATTCTACCTCAGCAGCTCCAAGAAACCGTTCTAAGCCACTTCGTCCGACACTCTTTGTGTCTCTTGGAAACATCTCATTTAGGATGACCAAGCCGCCTGGTTTGCCAGGGTCCAGGGGTCTTCAGAGTGAGGGACCTTCCGCGCTAAAGGTGGGGATGTCCCTGGCCAACCTGGATGGGTCGGTCGCCCCCTCCTTACCTTGCTTCACAGTCCAGTTCGCTGGGCCCAGGAATCTGCATTGTAACTCTCCCCTCGGTGATGCTTGTGAACACCAGTGGCCACCCTACCACAGCACTCTCTGTGTTTTCTTATTGGGCTCCTGGTGGGAACGCTACTCGCCAACTAGACAGGAAGCCACCTGAGACGTGACACACACGCAGTGACGGGACCTTGGAAAGACTCCAGAGAACTTTCTAAAAACCAGGCTCTGGACCAGGATCTGCAAAGTAAACCAGCAGCGGCGGGACCCATTCCTACTCAGCTCCACAGACTGCACCCGTGTGTTGCCCTTCTATGATCCTTCCGTTCATTCTCTAAGGATTTGTTGAGCGCTTGTTGGCCTGGCCTCTGAATGTCCATCCTAAGGATGGGAAAGAAAAATTGCCGCTTGCGTGAGCACAATAATTTTAGATAGTGAAAATAGCAGTAAATACTGTATACGGGAGTAAAACAGTACCATGCCACGTTCAAAGGCATCTCTGAGAAGGTGATATTTGACTGAGCCCTGAAGGTTAAGGAGCTAGCCACCCCAAGATTTGGACGAAGGTGTTCCAGGAGAAGGAAGAGCCCCGAGGCGGAAACAAGGAATAGAAAGGCTAGAGTAACTAGAGCGTAGCAAGCAGGGACAGAGCTACCGGAGCTGAGGATAGGGAGGTGTGCAGGGGCCAGTTCAGGCATGTGGGGCCTTCCGGACCTCTGTAGGCCTTTGCATTTTATTCTGCATGCAGTGGAAA